TTTTTCTTAGATACTCCTCCATATCCTTCTGGAAGCGCTGGATAGCAACGTACTGTGTGTCCTTCGCAAGTGGGTTCGTCCCCGAAGTAATCACTTGACCACTCACAAACGGAACACCTGCATCTACAGCTTCACGCCACACACTTAGAAGCATCTCTTGCACAGCAAGTGGGCCCAGCAGATATGCACCAGCAGTACGCTTGTCTGTCAGCATCCTCTTGATGAACTTCGCAGTGTCTTTGATAGGTGAACCAAACACAATAACAGCCTGTGGACGAGTGTCCGCAAACGCCTCCCAAGTAGCATTGAAAACAACATCGTCAGCAGGTTCACTGAGAGAGCTCTTCACTGTAAACACGCCACTGATATTTTGACCCAGAGTAAAAATAATTTCTCGTGCATGATTAAACTCGAGATCACCATAAGATACGTTCTGTAAATACATGAATCCTAACCGATGTACCCAGAGACTGTTCATAGCATATCGTATGAGCGCAAGCAGCTCTGAAGCAGGTTCCGCACGGGTAAAATAGAGATGAGGATTCCATTTCCTTAGTGTGCTAGAACCAGTGAATGGGGCGAAAGCCACAACACCATGACTCTCAATAGCAGGCAAGACGTGCTGAAGTGCAACATCACCAAATATTCCAGTTAAAACAAAAATACGATTGTCTTTTGAGAGATCATTAACCGCAAGATTGTACAAGTTGTCAACTGTTGCCTCCCTTTTCACAATTTCAACACGTATGCCATCAGTCACGGTGAAGTTATGGGACGAAAGCGAGGCTCTAAACCCAGCAACGAGAGCGGCAAAAAGCCTTCGTGTTGATAAAATATCAGTTCGATTAAAAAACAAAGCTTTTACAGTGCGGATAGCAGGTCCTGCATCCTGGCACAGTGCGCTGTGTGGGGTGTACACCAGCAGGTGGATGAGGCACAGCAGTGCAGTGAGGCACAGCAGCGGGCGGAAGTACGTGCGGCTGCAGCAGTATGCCACACCTGTGGCCTTGGGAGTGTGGAAGTGCATAGCTTGTGTCTTGAAACTGCAGGGAGAGTACAAAAATAAGAGAAGGGAATAGAATGCAAAGAGAAATGAGGCACAGGTTGTGTGGAGAGAGCACAGCAGAGCAAAACCCTGAGAGGGTGGTCATCCAGTCAAATCTAAGCGACTGCGCTCAGTAGTCCTCCGTTCGGCAACAATACGATCCAAGAAAAGCAGTGAAGAAATAATCATTAGGAGTGCAGTAATGAAATCAATATAAAAAGGTAAAGGTTTCAATGCTACAAAGCATGACCACCCTTAATAGTAGAAGACACAATGAGTCCAGATGAATAG